CACTTCCCTTGAATACAAACTGTTCCTCTCCCTGGGGGTTGGATTAGGGCCCCTCTGACAGGCATGAATGACATCACTGGTTCCAAAACTGCTGCTTTATTTTCCCTTCTTTCATACAACTAGTTAGTGTTTTCATGTAACTTGCTCAAATGTTGATGCACTTTCCTAATTATTTCTTTCTGAGGACATAGTGTTTATATTCCCACTTGCAGGTCAAGAAATTGAAGGTCAAAGAGAGTCTCAGCAGGGAAACCAGACACCCTGGGTTTTGCCAAAGACCATCCTGGTTTGTGGGGGCTTCCCAGGTGGCACTAGTGGTAAAGAACCTGGCTGCCAATGCAGGTGACGCCAGAGATGCAGGTTTGATCCCTGTGTTGGGAAGATCCCCTGGAGTAGGAAATGGCAACCCACTTCAGTATTCATGCCTTCAGAATCCCATGAACAGAGGAGACTGGTGGATTGTGGTTCATAGGGTTGCAAATAACTTAGCGACTTAGCATGCAGGCACGCATCCTGGTTGGTGACTGTGGCTCTGGAGAGATGTGTAGAGCAACCCTTTTACTCTTAGAAATACACAAGTTTGGGAACTTTCCTGGTGGTCCAGTGGCTAAGGCTCTGTGCTTCCAATGAAGGGGGCCCAGGTTCAATTCCTGGTCAGGGAACTGGATCCCACGTGTGGCAACTGAGGTTTGAATGCCGAAACTAAAGATGCCCCATGATGCAACAGGGCCCAGCACAGTCAAATAAATAATTTTTGTTAGTTCCTTAAAAAAACAGTACCCAACGGGTTTTTTTTTTAAATGATATGGTCTAGTCTACATGATCAGAACTCACCTGAGTGGTGGCAAGCAGGGGTAGCCCCCAGCCCACTGCTCCTTTTAGCATGCCCTGAGGAAATAGAAATATAAAGGGATAGAGGGAGATGACACACACAAGAAAATGAACTCACTTGGGAATTCCCTGTGGACCAATGGTTAGGACTCTGCACTTCCATTGCAGGGGCCCTGGGTTCGATCCCTGGTCAGGGAACTAGGATCCCAACAAACCACACAGCTAAGCAAAACAAGACAAAATGATTCCACTTGGGTTTCTGCTCAAGAAAATCCTGCCTGAGTCCTTCTAAAAGTAAGGAGCCTTCTGTGAAGCAAATAATATGCCCCCATCTCTCATCAAAGATTCCATTTTGTACTGCATAACTTTTACACTGTTTTTAAAAAAAACATGACACTCATTTAGCTGAAAAGCAAGATGCAGAGGGGTATACAGTGTGTTTCAAAAGAGGGAAGATCTATATCCATCTATAAAAAAAACTACTTGGGGAATACATGTAAATCCATGGCTAATTCATTTCAATGTATGACAAAAACCACTGCAATGATGTAAAGTAATTAGCCTCCAACTAATAAAAATAAATGAAAAAAAAAATACTACCAGATGATAGGTAAGAAATTAGTAGTTATCTCTAGCAGGGAAAATTGGGCAGGGGCAGGGTTGATGATAGACTTTTTAAAAATACATTTTGAGGGCTTTCCTCGTGATCCAGTGGTTAAGGCTCCACACTTCCCATGCAGGGTACATGGGTTCAATCCCTGGTCAGGGAACTAAGACCCCACATTACACAGAGTGAGACCAAAAAAAAATTTTTTTAATGCCTTTCATGCCCCTAAGCAGCCTACTGATGCAAAAACAATGCCCAAATTTTGCCTCAGAAACTCAAACTCCTCTTCCTTCTGGCCACCTCCCTGCAGCCTGTCTCTCCCACTCCTCTGCCTCCTGGCTCCAGCTGAAGTCTCAGGCTCCGCACTCCAGTCCCTGACAAGAAGGCTGTCTTGTGGCTTTCAGTCTTACCAGACAAACTGTTTTAACTTCTTTCGTTTGGGGAGAAAACTAATTGGATACCGTCGTTCTCTACTTAGGGGCTCTTAAAACATGGAAAAATGTTATTCCCCACCAGAGCTGAATCTACCCTGAATTTTCTAGAGGTGTATCACACACAATGTAAGCACAGAACCTCATCAGGAGACTCAGGATTGAACCATAAGTTTGATTTGAAGAACCAGCACAGACACCATAATTGAGTGCCCTGTGATGGAAAAACACGGGTGGTTGGGGGAGGGATTTGTTTATGCTTTGAAATGGAATGCCACATCAAAAAATTTCTTGTTGGACTTCCTTAGTGGTCCAGTGGATAAAACTCTTGTGCTTCCAAGGCAGGAAGTACAGGTTTGATCCCTAGTTAGGGAACTAAGCTCAGTGGTAAAGAATCTACCTGCAATGCAAGAGCAGCAGGAGATGCAAGTTCGATCCCTGGGTCAGGAAGATCCCCTGGAGGAAGTATTCTTGTCTGGGGAATCCCCATGGACCCAGGAACTTGGCAGACTACAGTCCATATGGTCCCAAAGAGTCAGACAGGATTGAAGCAACTTAGCATGCACACTCAATAGCTTCCAAATGGTGCCCTGTGGCTCCATAGGAACCCCTCATGGACATCCTGAGTGCCTTCAAAACTCCATGCCTCCACTTCCTTTTTTTTTCCACTTCCTTTTCCAACCAGATCATACACAACTTTCGTCCATTTCTGAAATGGGCTTCTATATGTGAGGCTCATGAAGAAAAGCTTCCTTTATTTAAACTAAAGACAAAAGTCTAGAAGCCACTGCACTAGGTAACCAGTCAGTTCCTTCCAGGCAAATTCAATGAAGCCATGCTCCCTGCCTCCCTCTCTCTAGCAAAACAGTAGCAGAATTTCTTCATGTGGGAATTTCACTTGAATAAACTCCTGGTGAGAACAAGAAGATGGACATCTAATCTGAAGCTATTTGTTGACAGATGCTGGGTTCAAGGGAAGACCCTCTGGAGAAGGGCATGGCAATCCACTCCAGTATTCTTGCCTAGAGAATCCCAAGGACAGAGGAGCCTGGTGGGCTACAGTCTACGGGTGGCAAAGAGTTGGACACAGCTGAAGCGACTTAGCATGCACACACACACGCTGGGTTCAGAGGAAGCTTCCCTTGGGCTCAATCATAGCTCTAATATAACTAGGAAAGCACATGAGGTGCCTGCACCCAATTCCATCCACAGCAGCCCCACCCAGGGATGCGGCTCACCTGGGGGTGGCAGAAGGCCAATTGCTCCTACTGTTACAATCAATCCTTGATTTGCAGGTAAAGAGAAACAGAACATTAGGTGATCAAAAATGACCTGTTGCTAAATCACCTCTGGGAATCCATTAAGTGCTTTTTAAAAGTTTTGGGGTATGCTGAATCTTTATTGCTACACTCAGGCTTTCCCTAGTCACAGTAAGTGGGCTTCTCATTGTATTGGCTTCTCTTACTGCAGAGCATGGGCTCTCGAGTGTATGGCCCAGAAGTTGTGCTCACGAGCTTAGTTGCCCCTTGGCATGTATAATCTTCCCGAACCAGGGATCCAACCTGTGTGCCCTGTGTTGGCAGGTGGATTCTTAACCACTGGACCACCAGGGAAGTCCCACAAAGTGCTTTCTTGAGCACGTACTGCCATTTTACCAGTGAGGAAAGTGAAGGTTGAAAACGCAAGGTAACTTTCCTAAGTGAGTAAATGACAGAATCAGATTTTTTTAGTTGTATTCTTAAATTGTGAAATAACCCCATGGAATAAAACATAAATGCAGGCCACAATGCAAAACTATTAAGCAAAGTAAAGTGTAAGTCACTCAGTCAAGTCTGACTCTGTGACTGTATTGTACATGGAATTCTCCAGGCCAGAACACTGGAGTGGGTAGCCTTTCCCCTCTCCAGGGGATCTTCCCAACCCAGGAATTGAACCCAGGTCTCCCGCATTGCAGGCAGATTCTTTACCAGTTGAGCCACCATTAATAAGCAAAAGCCTGTGTAAATGCCACCCAAGTCAAAAAACAGAATGTTGCCAGCATTCAAGAAACCACTCTCCCACCCACCCCCAGCTTGGGTCTCTGTTCCGTCCTGCTTCACTCCCTCCCCAGAGGTAAATGCTGTCCTGACTTTAAATTATTTTCTTGCTTTTCTTTATAATTTAACCACCTGTAGGTGCACAAAGCCAGGATTTCTACTCAGGTCTGTGAAAATCCAAAGTCTATGCTCTTAACCTCAAGATGTTTCAATAATGATCCTTAAAGTCTTAGAGCCTTAAAGTCTCACTTGTTTCATATTAATAATGACCCCAGCTTTCTCTGGGTTAGTTTTGCCTGGTATCTCTATCCTTTTCCTGCCTCAGTAGCAGACTTCGAACATCTTTCTACAAATATTTTTGTGGACTCTTAACCTATTTACAGTCATTGATAGTTTTTAATTCTGAAACACAAGACTAGGGAAAAATAAGAGAAAACAAGGAGATGTGAGTCTATGTCCTAAGCCAAGCCTCCGGCTTGACTCATATCTCCTCGGGCAGCTGCATTTCTATACAAGGAAAGACTGCAGCTGGATTTAGATACATTCACACACTTCATCAACATAACACTCACAGGTAGGATATGCATAACAGGAGCTGAATAAGAAAGCTGTTTAAGACTCACAGACTTAACAGACTTGTGGTTGCCACGGGGGCGGAGGGAGGCGGAGGATTGGGAGGTTGGAATTAGCAGATGCAATCTATTATATATAGAACAGATAAAGAGCAAGGTCCTACTGTGTAGCATAGAGAACTATATTCAGTATCCTGTGACAAATCATAATGGAAAAGACTATGAAAAAAAAGGTATAGTTTGTATAACAGAATCACTCTGATATATAGCAGAAATTAACACAACACTGAAAATCAACTATACTTGAATAAAATTTTTAAAAAAAAAGAAAGCAAGCTGTTTATTCACAAAGATGCTGACTACATAAGCACACTGGAATACACTGCATAAATTCGTCACTTGTCATATAAATATACATGGTACCACAATCATTTCAAGTCAAACTATTTTATTGTCCAAGAGACTCCTTCTGTGGTCTCAGGAGGCCCGCTGTCAACGGAGGACCAGCGGGGCACCCGAGTCCTCACTCCTCTGCGCTCTGCGTGCTGACGTAGTCCTGGAGAAGCGCCTGCACCTCTGCCCGCCGGCTCATCTTGGTGGCCTTGCCCTGAAAGCGGCCTTTCTTCCCAGCGCCCTTGCCTTCCAGCACCTCAGCTACCCTGGGGAGCAGAGAGACGGGTCAGGGAGGGGTGTCTCTTAGGGGAAAGTCACGGGAAAAACCAGGTAACCCCTGAAGCTTTCCTCGCGGGCTGAGGGGGAGGGAGAGAAAAAGTAGGCGGCTTCTAGAAATAGTTGTACGTGGGCACAAAGATACACGCAGCATGTTGATAAGAGTGAATAACTAGAAACAACAGAAGTGCCTAGAAATGGGCTAAATTACAGCAACCTCCAGGGAGCAGGGCAAGCATAATTAAGGGTAAAGAGCTGTAGACACAAAGGCCTGTGGGAACAGCAGTGAGTGAAGCAACTGGGGCTGAGTGAGAAAGGTGGGCCCGCAGCACTGGCTGGGCCTATGGTGTCTGAAGAGGCGGCCGGCACCTACTTCCTCACAGATGCTACCCTGCAGGAATGTGGACACAGAAATGCCAGAGCATGCCTCTTCCCACCCCCACCATTTTTTAAAAACCTAGAACTCTATATACATTTTTAAGAAAAAAATCTCCTAATTTTAAAAGGTAGCAACTAATTTTGAAAATTTAAAATAGTACACAGGCCAAACCAGTCTATAGGCCTCACCTGGCTGTCAGGAACCTCTGCTCTAAACACTTCTGTTTTCCTTTATGTTTTACAATGAACATGTATTCATCAGAGCCCATCAAGGACTTCAAAAACCCTAAATGCCACAAAGAACATGACATACGCCACCTTCCATAGCTAATTTAAAATAAAAAAATACAAAAAATAAAAGTCCAACACAATTCTAACTTTTCTATAATAACTACATCAATGCCTTTTTTGATTCAGTTTCAAAATACTAATTTTTTCCCCCAAGTTTGCCTCTATCTTGTGGATGCCTTAAGCACCTGTTTCATCTGCCTAGGGAGAATCCAAAACCTATATTCAAGCATCACTTATGAATCTCAATTTCTAAAAGAAAAAACACAAAGTACATTAGATTTGGAGACAAAAAGTCCTGGGCTTGAGTCTCAGTTCTCTCACTTTAACCGTGAGATCTGAAGCACAGGACGTGCTGTCCCTCATATAGAAAAGTGCGAATGATGGTGGTGATCAATTTCTGCTCAGCAAACCTCACATGGCTGTGATGTGATCAACCTAAGATGCAGACACAGTGGCCCTTTGCATTCACCAAGGGCTGTGTTAGCAGGTTAGGCTTACAGACTCTCCCACCCGCACATAGCTGTCCACAGTTAATCACCTGGGCCCCAGGGTCTCCACGGCCTCAGCTGGTCCTGCCAGTAAGAAGAGTCCAGCACCTTTCTCATCGCCCACAGTTAAGAAGAGGAGGGTCTCCTAGGATGGAAGACAAGAAGATCAGCCCTGATACTTAAAGACACGCAGTCAATCCCCTCCAAACTGCACTCTTTTCAGCCTCAAGAACACATTTTTATCATATTGCAATATATATCAACACACTGTACATCTTAAGACAATGTGATATGTCAACTGTACTTTAAAGAAAAACAGCTTTTCCCTCTAAACCACAAGTGATGTTCCTGATGAATGATAAGACAGCCCCTCCACTATGGGGCCCATAAGGGACAAGAAACTTTGACAATGGCTTTAGGAACTCAGGTTGAACATTAAGTAGGGGGCAGAAGGCTGCTGACCATGATCAAGGATGAAATGCCTTTCATGATCTGACTCCTGCCAACCTTTGGAGCCTGGGCACCCCACTGCCCTCCTACACTGTGCCTGCCACTGCCTAAACCTCCATGTTTCCCTCAGCCTGGCCGCCCTGGTTCCTGTGTCTGCCGACTCCTAAGCAGTCTTCTAGGCCCCTCCCCTGAAGCCTCCTCAGTCTGAGAGGGAATGCACTCCTCTCACTCTAGCATCAACCACCCTAAATTACAAAGATCAGCATACATAGCTATCTTCCCAAATAAAAGTGAGCTCCTTGAGAATCTGTACTCTCTACACAGAATTATGAAGAGAGATGTACACACTGCTTGGCCCAGAGTGACTATTTCAAAGAGTATTTTTGGAGTAAGGGCAAAAGAGAGACCTGGAAAACACTAAACTCTGGACAGTCAGGACTGGGACGAAAGCCTGAGGCCAGAGGCAAAGGTCAACAGAAGGGATGGCCTTCTAAGGACCAAGCCAACCCCCATATTTCTGAAATCAGGCCCTTGGCACACATAAATATGGGTGGTATGGAGGAATTCCACTTCTGATAAAAGGAGCTCCAAAGCTGGTAAATGTCACAGTCCCAGAAAGGTCAATACCACTGATCAAGTCTGACACCTAAAACAAAGCCTGGCTCATGGTTAGTGTTGAGAAAATGGCATTGAATGAATTTCTGTTTCCTATTCTCCATATGTTCATGAGGAAGACCCCTTGCAAGGTCTCCAACTAGGGTGGACAAAGAACCTCACGTTCCTCTTACCTCTGGCCCAATCTCATTGGCGATGATATTCATGAACTCAGAATCGCCATCCTTCCTAAAACAAAGGGCACAGACGTTGAGACCCAGGCTGCAAATGGAGCTGGGAAATTGCAGGAGGCCCAGCTCCTCCTACTGGCCTCCCCGCTGCCTTTCCTGCAAAGTGCCAAAGAAAGAGGGCAAACGGAGGGCCAACCCAACGTCCTTCTCGGCCTGAGCACGTTACAATAAGCTTTGCTTTATGTTGTTTCTATTTCCCTTAAACAGGATTCTCCCAGGTAAGTGGAGAATTGTTAGATGGTGAAGGATCTGAGGCAAGGTGCTAAGAAAGTTACATGTGAAGATGTTTATATCAAACCCAGGAAACCTGGAAGGTAACACATTACTTAGGGCCTTCTCAGTCTTGAGAATACCATGGGGGTGACCCGCTTCCCACTCCTGCACTCTACGCCGGGAAGAGGCTGAGCCCGAAGCCCAGCACCCCTGGCCTGTCTCACCTGTGTAATGTGATCACACCTCCACAGTCTGGGCTGTTCCTAAGGCTGTGGGCAGTGTGCACAGCCAGGTCTCTGAGCAGATTCAGGTTGTTCTGAAATGGACATTGTCACTCAGTCATCGGGCGGGGAAAGGGTAACGAGAGGGAGTACCGTCTCCCTCTGCCCCTCACTGCTGCCACACTGCACATCTGGTCAGGTGAGGGGCTGAGTCTGGGAGCCTGTTCAGGCAGAGCCCACGCCTTTCCACCCTCCATGGATAAATCACCTTCTGCAGGAGCTTGCTGGAATTCTGCAGCTTCTTCACTGCTTCCACGTGGTCCTCTGCTCCACACCTGCAGGAGAAAGGTTCGTGGAGGCCTCCCCAGTTTCCCAACTGCTTCTGGTGTTGGGCGTAAATCAACAATGCCCCTCTTGATGGTGTGTCTCCCTCCAGATGGGACTCAGGGACATTTTGATGAGGCCTCAGAAGGTTGAGGGGAGAGGATATAAAGGAAGAAACCATTCTGTGTGCATCTGGCTAACTACCCAAAGCGCTGCAGCATTTGTGACCGCATCGCACCTCCCAGAGATAAGAGTATTCTGTCTCCTGTACAGGTGGGCATGCTACACTCTGGCTGCCCAGGAGCTGAGAGTTGAGCCCAGGAAGGGGGCGTGCGTACTTCAGCAGAGCCGTGAGCGCCTTCTCAGTGCCGTGACTCCTCTCCATCCACTTCAGCACCCGGTTCCCAGCCAGGAAGATCAGGTTGGTTTTGTTCTTTTTCCCCTTCTCAGTGCCCAGAATTTTAATGACCTACATGAGGCAACAAGGTAACATACACATGTATACATGGGTAAGCCACAGCAGGTGCTGGACCCGAGGGTAAGAGAGACCAAGACCTCCCCAAACAGCTCAGGAGCAATAATGGAGTGACTTCACAAAGGACCCCTCGGGTGTCCCCTCCATCACTCCCAGCCCTGCTGTGACCCCCCACCCGACACCCTCTCTCCCACCCATTCAAGAGCCCTCTCTCACCTACCTGAAGGTCACTGAGATTGCTCACGTGAGTCCCGCAACACATGTTGGAATCGACGCTCTTGATGGTAACAACTCGAATAGGCCCAGCGTGATCATCCGGCAAACCCCGGCCCCTCACCTGGAACGTGAGGAAAGGAGGAGGGCTGTCTGAATTTTGATGAGAAGCCCTCGGGTGGTCACTCTGCAGAAGACACGCCCCTGGCTCTCCTCTCACCTGCTCCACCTCTGGATCATCCAGGCTCAGTTCTCGCACGTTTACTGGCAGCCGATCTCGGATTTTTTCATTGACACTCTGCTCGATGGCAGCTACTTGCTCTGCGGTCACAGAGGGGCTGTCCAGCTCAATGACACTCCGGAGTCGCCCCAACTCCCTGCCAGAAGTAGAGTGGTCACAGGATGCTGACGGGGACGATGAACAGTGTAAGGAAGAGTATCGTTTACAGAGCATGTTCATATAAATGCTGTTATTGACTCCTCACAGAAATGTCGCAAGGCAGGGACTGTCACTTCCATTTTACAGGTGAAGGGGTTAATATTAAGGAACATGATCAAGGTCATGCAGCTGGGATTCACCCTCTAGGTCACTGGGCTCCAAATTCTATGTTCACTCCTAAGCAAAGGCAGATGTTTCTCAGGGGGAAACAAAGTCATCTACCACCCATCTTCACAGGGACCAGGTGGGCAAAGCAGCCCTAACCCATGAGGAGCTGGCAGTCAGGGACCCATGATGGACAGTCCCCTGCTCACCATGATGTTGTCTTCAGCCCAAAAAGATCATCAGCAACTGCGGTGATGAGATGCTGCCCTGAACAGAGAGAGGAGACAGGAGAAGAGTAAGGAGCCCAGGCAGTCACACAATCCCCATGTCAATGTCATCCCAGAAATTCTGCTGAAGACCTGCTGGACATTGAGTAATACTCCCGAAAGATACTTTATTGAAAATCCTCAGGAGAATTCTGCAAGAAGCTTTATGATGCCATTTCATGAATGAGGAAATCGAGGCCTAGAGAGATCAAATAAATGACTTGCCAAGGCAATGTACCTCGTCAGAGGCAGGATTTGAACTCAAGTTCTCATTGAGCCACATCCATTCATTTGACAAAAAGAAAATCTTTTAGGCATGTTTTTTGTTTTGAATTTTTGTTTTTTCCTGGCCTTACTGCACAACTTACAAGATCTCTCAGTTCCCCAATCAGGAACTGAACCTGGTTCACGGCTATAAACCTGAACTCTCACCAGTAGGCCACCAGGGAACTCCCCATTTGACAGAAATTTATCAAGTGCCTACACATACAAGGCACAGGGCTTGGTACTAGAGCTATGGTGCTATCCCTGATCAATGACAGTGAGGAGGAGGAAACAAAGCAAGAGGAAGAGAAGGGCCAACTGTGAAAGCAAACGGAACAAGACAGCCAAAGGCCCCGAAGGAGGAAACAAACAGGGTATATTGAAGAAATCAAGAGAAGGCCAGGATGCGGAGAGTGGGAAGCAGGGGCACTGGATGAGGCGGAGCAGTAGAAAAGCAGCAGCCCAGGCCAGTCTTACAGCCCACGACAAGATGTTTGGCTTTAGCTGAGCTACAGGCAGCCTCTGAAAAGCTTGAAGGCTGGGAGTGGCTTGATCAGATTTTCAGTTTTAGATTATTCTGGCTGCTTTGTGGAGGATGGGCTGCAAAGTAGCAAGACTGAATGTGGGGAGACTAACCAAGAGACTATTACAGAGGGCTGGGGAGAGATGGCGAGAGGTGGGACAAGGACAACGGCGTTGACAGTGGAAGTGGGCAGAGAAGTATTGAGAAAGTAAACCGTCAGGATGCAGACTGACTGGCTATCCCTAAAGAGGGGTCTGAACAGACTACCAGGATTCAAGCGACCGGGTGGATGCTGATGCCATGCACTGAACATAAGAGGTGAACGGAAAACCAGATCAAGGGGAGGGGGTGGCTTTTCAATTCCATTTTGGACATTTTGAGTTTAAGAAGGCTATGAGACATATCCAAATGAAGATATCCAGTGGTAGTTAGTAATACTTAAATCCAGCAGTTATTCTAATACTTTAACTGCTCATCTTGGAGGGTTTCTTTTGACTGTGCTATCTTCGTTGCTCTGCGTGTGCTTTTTCTAGTTGTGATGAGCAGGGGCTACTTTCCAGTTGTGGTGCCCAGGCTTATCCACTGCGACAGCTTCTCTTGTTGCAAAGCATAGGATCTAACATGTGTGAGCTTCAGCAGTTGCAGCACAGGATTCAGTAGCTGTGGCACACGTAGAATCTTCCTGGACCAGGGATTGAACCTATTTCCCCTGCATTGGCAGGCAGACTCTCAACCACTGGAACACCAGGGAAGTCCTGCTCATTTTGCTTTTATAACATTTATCACATCTTGCCAGAATCCTGATTCTGAATACGTCTGTCTCTTCTAAAAGGTTAGCTCCAGGAGAACCCACACATCTCAATCATCTTGACATTCCTAAACAGCAACTGCCCCTGCTAGAGGTGTCCCATCCCACCCATCTACCTGAATGCTGCTGCATGTGGTCAAACCTCCGCTCCCAGTCCACCCGGACATGAACCTCAGTCCCAGGGGTCAGGGGAGTCTGGGTGAAATGATCAGCTTGGGTGCCCCGGCGAGTCACTCTCAGCACAGAGATGTCATTGATTGTACCACGGTCATCAGGCTGCATAAACAAATAAAGATAATCAGTGGTGGCAGGCAGGGCTCACCTAACTCCTGGAATCAAAGACACTCCAGGGCAAGTATGTGAAAAACACACCCAGAATTTGAGATTCTCTAAGGGAGAAAGGCAATGCCAAATGAGGTGGTTCATTTTGCTCCAGGAGGGGACTATCTCTGTCCTCTTCACTCTGAACACCTGTATATCTTGGTCTTCAGAACAGAATAACAGAATTAAACGTTGTAACTATAGCAAGGAAACTTTTAGTAAAACCCAAAGAAACTTAATCCTCACTCTCATTGCTTGGTTTAGATTCTTCTCTTTCAATAGTTTCTAAAATGATCCGAATTTTTCTCCCTTCTTCCATTCTATCTTCTTCACTGCTACTAGAATTAAACTATAAAAATATGAAGTATTACAAAATACAACTGCTTACAAGATACTGTGACTGCCCAAGAATACAATGTAAATAAGACATGGTCCCTCAAGCAAATGAAGAGCCTGGAAAAGATACAGACATGCCAACGGTAAGACATGGTCCCTCATGCAACTGAAGAGTCTGGAAAAAATATAGACATGCCAACAGGCAATTGCAAAATGACCTACAGCCTGCTACAGTTCAAAAAAGTACATTGTTCTAGAGCTCAAAAGAAAGGGTCCTAACAATCTTGGAAAATCAGGGAAGACTTCTTGGAAGGGGTGGTATATAAAATGAGACCTACTATGGATACTGGACGTCACAGGTTTTCCTTCAGCAGATCAGAAAACCTCTACACTGGCCACTTAGTACATTCTCTCACATAATTTTTTTGCCTAAGTACTTCCATGGCTCACCACAGCTTCCTGAATGAAGTCCACACACCTTAACACATCCTTCAAGGCCCTCTGAAATGCCCCCACTTAGCTTTCCAAAGTCATCTCCAGCCTGTCATCAACATGTACCATAAGCTCCAACTATATGGGACTGTTTGCAGTTAACCAGACTTATCAGATTCTTTCAGGCTTCCCTGCCTTCGACTGTGCTACTCTCTCTGCTGGGAAAGCTTCTCCCACAATGCCCACCTTTGAGGTGAGTATCCTCCTTTCTCAAGTTCTCACTGGATCTTGTCCCTACCCCATCACAGTATTGATAAGTCTGCCCTCTCTTGTGCTCCTTCAGAGGAAACTTTTCCCTCTGTGCTAAACATGCTAATGGAATTCCGACCTCAGGTCCTTTGCACTTATTCTCCCTCCCTGGAAACAGTTCCCCTCCCCCACCAGCATCACCAGATGCCAGGTACGGCTTAACACCCACTTCCCTTAGTTCTTGACTAAAGTAACTTGTCCCCTACCTAGGAGATCATCCCATCACTCTCTTTCCCTCAAACTTTAGTTTTCTTCATAGAACTTATCTGAGCTGGTATACTATTTATCTAGTCACCGTTTTGTCTGTTTCCTCCAACAAATACACCATGTAGGCAGAGACACTTTCTCGTTCAACCTTTATCCTCAGAGCCTGGAACAGTACCAAAGAGGATGTGTTAGGGCTGGATAAGTATCTGTTGAGTGAAAAAATGAGCTGAATTGAGCTAATTTCCAGCTGTATTCATTACAGCTGAGACTGAGAGACAAGAGACACTTCCCACCGGGTGAGAAAGAAACTGAGGGCTTCATGGGAAGGGAGGGGAGGGGAAGGGTTCGAGATGGGCCTGGTACCTGTCCCCCGCCTTCAGGGAAAAGCAGCGTGTCTTCCAGTACCACTTGGAAACCGCTCAGCACTTCCTTCTTGCCGTTGCTTCCTTCGGTGTGCAGCTCCGCGGGACGGCAGGAGACCACAGTGGTGGTGAACTGGGTGGAGACGGATGCAAAAGTAAGCCCCTACCCCAACCCTCAGCGCACCGGACTGAATCCAGCTCGGCGCCCCCTCCACGCGGCGCCCCCTCGCCCCGCACCGCTGCACCCGCTCGGATCAGCAGGTTTCCCGCCCCGCAGGCCGCACCTCTCTGGCGTAGCTGTCCCGCTGACACAGAAACGCCATCGCTGCTGTCTCCCAGGACGCGGGGATGCGCGCTCACTGAAATGCCCGGCGGCAGACGGAGAGCAAAGCGGGACAATCTTCACTCCGGGCGCGTCTCTGCGCAGGCGCAGCAGGGCAAAGAACGGGATGCGGTTTGAACAAATTTATTCAAAACGCGACGTGCAGGCTCTCGGAATTGTTTAGCGACTATTTGTGAAAAGGACCAGGAAAAAAAAGACAAAACTGCGGCCTGAACTTGTCGAAGCACTTCGTTTGGCCCCTTTGGACCTCAGGGAGGGACATAATTCAGCCCTGTGGAAGCCCGGTCGATAGAAACGTGGATGGTACTGGTTTGAATACACAGCAGCGCCGCCCAATGGAATTATAATGCAAGCACATATGTTCTTAATATTTTTATTTAAATTATCATATCTAAATTTTTTCATGTAATGAGTATTTTAAAATGAGTTTCTCCCCCACCCCGTACAAAATTTTAGAAACGTGATGTGTATTTTACACTTACAGCACTTCTCAGTTGGGGATATCAATATTTCAAGTACTCAGTAACCATGTGTGACCATTGCTACCTGATTGGACAGTGCAGATAGATTAAAAGAAGTTAAACTGCAATCAGTGTCTTAAAACGTTAAACGAATTAAAAGTTTATATTAACTTTCTTTCTGCTGTTTTGCTGCTAAGTGGTCAGTCGTGTTGGACTCTAGGACCACATGGATTGTAGCCCACCAGGCTCCTCTGTCCGTGGAATTTTCCCAGGCAGGAATACTGGAGTGGATTGCCATTTCCTCCTCCAGGTTCTGTTCTTTTAAATTAATTAATAAAAAGCTTAAAGTCTCCAGATGCTTCAGAATTTAGGATTTTCCTGATTTTAGGCAGTAATGCAGACCATACCTATATGTTACCTAATGTGTTCCATTTGGAACTCTGGAGCAACCCCCTGTGATCAAATGTATGAATATTTATGCTGAAAAATAAATGCACTAAAACAAATAAACAAAGACTATAAATAGCCTAACATCATTTTAAGTCATGTCTTGATGCCAGATGAGTTTTGGTGTTAATTTTTTTTAACTCATATTTTAGAACTTTTCAGTTTTCAGAATTGTAGGCGAAGAGAGATATGCTATACAAGTTCAGGTCCCAGCTTTGCCACTTACTGTGACCTGTTTGAGCACGATTAAGAAAAGACTTAATATTATACAGTTGATATGAAGTTCAAATAAGATATAAAGTTTACTTAGATAATATATAAATACTTAGTCACTCAGTCATGTTTGACTCTTGCAACCCCATGGACTGTAGCCTGCTAGGCTCCTCTGGAGTGGGTTGCCATCTCCTTCTCCAGTGGATGTCCCCAACCCAGGAATCGAAGTCAGCTCTCATGAATTGCAGGCAAATTCTTTACTGAGGGAGGTTCTAAAAAGAAACATTAGTCACTAATGAACAATAAGCAACCTCATAATTTAAAGCAAATAAAACCAGGGAATTCCCTGGTGGTCCAGTGGTTAGGATTCTGCACTTTCACTGCTGAAGGCCTGGGTTCAATCCCTGGTCTGGGTACTAAGATCCTGCAAGCCTTGAAGGGCAGCTGGAAATAAATAAATCAAGCAAATCAAGCCAAGTATACTTTTATCTTGGCAAATACCTAAAAGGATTTGGAGAAGCGGTGGAAGTGATGGAAGTGGTGGTAGAAGTGAAAATCGGTATTTCATCTAAGAACAACTTAGCAACAGCTTTCAAAATGTTTACATGTATCTGCTCTTTGACCTAGCAATTTCACTTCTAGAACTTACACTATATGAACTCCTTGGCAGTCCAGTGGTTAGGACTCAGTGGTTCCACTGCCAGGGCCCAGGTTCAATCCCTGGTGGGAGAACCAGGATCCCACCTGGTTCTGGCAGGGGGTAGAGGTGGGGGGTGGTGTGGATTTACCCTACAGATGTTCTTGCCAAACATGTAAAGATGTACTTTTTAAACTGTTCCTTGCACGTTCGTGCAAGGAAATTTCAATTTTTACCTTCGTGAAACTTGAAAAAGACCAAATTGATAAGGAGCCAGTTAAATTATGGAAAATATGTTCAACTGAATAACATGGAGCCATAAAGAAGAGTCAGATCTATGCACACTGGCTTGGAAAGAACTCCAATATATATTAAGTGAAAAAAAGCAGGGTGCAAGATGTATATAATAGTGTGATTCCCACTATACACACACACAATGCATTTGCCCACGCATGTGTTAAATTTTAATATATATTGTACTGTATATACACAATACAGGATACTGTATATGTTTCTGTTCCAGATATGTTGTATATTGTTTTATATATAATTATATAAATTATAGGTATTATATAATTTATATTATATATAAATAGATATAAATATATCAATTTATTGAAGAAACTATTAACAGTGGTTACAGCTATTAAGAGAATACAAATCCTACTTTACATTGTACACCTTTCTATTTAATTTTTAAAACTATGTCCATAAATTACTGATATAAATTTTAGAGTTTCTTTAAACAAATCTCAGTACTTTACCCTGAGTTCAAGGGCAAGGTCTGGGTATTGAATTTTGTTTAAGTCACAGTCTAAGTACACATTAGGCAATCAAAAAATGTTTGTGGATGAATGGGGTAGCTGATGAATGGAGAAGTAAAGAGACATAGGCATTAACTAATGTAACAATTAGCTTTAAAAGTGTAAAGATATTTCTGGAGTATGCAGGAAGCTGAAGTAGGTTTCTGGCTGATGCTAGAGGTGGCAGTGTTAGCCATACAATGAAAGGCTGGATCCTGCTCTGAAGATCAGAGCATAGGTCTGAGCGTGGAAAAGTTCCTCAGCTTGGTTACAAGTCTGCTTCCAACACCTTTCTTCTTCCAATCTTGACAGTAAGGGCCAGGATATGACAGCCACCTCTCCACTGGAAAGGAGCTATAGAGGGGAAAGAGGCTTGCCTCCAGGAGGAAGAAGTACCAGAAGGAAAGAGACAAAGAACAGTTTCTAGAGCTTTATTATAATCTATATGTTGCTTCTGTGGGTTTTGCTTTAAGACATACACACACACAGGCTCAAATACTCAAGAAAGCCCTGATGAGTTACAAATACAAACATTACGGCCAACCCGTAGGAAGTCAAAGGCCCCATCTGTCTGCTTCTCTCCTATCCTGCCATCTGATATAGCAGCCATATCAAGTGCCTAAGAAAAAAAAATAAAAGATGAAGGAGGGACATCCCTAGCAGTCCAGTGGTTAAGACTCTGCACTTCCAATGCAGGGGGTGTAGGTTCAATTTCTGGCCAGGGAACTAGGACCCTACATGCTGCAGAGCACAGCAAATAATAATAATAAATCAAATGAAAGCAATGGAAGAAATTGAAAAAAAATGAAGGAAGACCCTTAATAAAAAGCTTCTAGGAAAGTTCAGAGATCTCAGAGGACACTGGTGCACCATCAAGGAGCTGACAAAGACACAGGTCTTGGCTTGTTATAGTGACTAGAAGATAGTCACAGCTTCCTCTTCAGCTTTGCTGTCACAGAAAGTTAATTACTTGTTGCATCAGCACTGTCAGAATCATCCTAGAGAAAAAAGAAGACAGAAACACCTGTAGAGTCTGCAGTGGACATTTGTGTTCACAAAAGCTGCTCACTCCCTCTAACTCCCTCCAAAGTTTTCTTTGGTGATTTTCTAAATCACACAACTTCTAGGAAGCCTAACACAGAAGGATTTAAATTTTGGATGATAAAATAAGCCACTGGTACTCAATAAATAGCACTGTGCCATGAATCATTTAATGTGAGAATTGCAACAAATGCTATACTGGTCCTTACAGCTATAAATATAATAAACAGGGCCAGGCCTGCTCTAAAATGGAGAAGCAGAAGAGAAGAGATAGAAAGGAGGAAGGGCTTACTGGGGTTTTCTAAAGCATTAAAGGACATATGACCTCTTGTGTCAAATTCAGATTTGGCTAACATGCACTGAGAATCATGATATGCTAGAGACTGGGACCTTTCTAGTATCTTTATTTTTAAGGACAGAAAGGAAAGTGAAGGGTTAAGGAACAGGCTTTACTTACATCCAGATCATCCATTGCAGGGGGTGGTCCCTTGGTGCTGACCTTTTTCAAAAGCTGGTGGGAAGAGGAGAGGAGTCACAAAAGATAAAGAGGAGTGAGGGAAGAGCAACCTGCATATCGATGAACCATCGGAAAATGGTCCGAGGCAAACACCTGCCCCAGTTTTAAAGCCCCTAACATAACACTGGAATAACAGGAGAAAAGTATATTGATCCCCTTTTTAAAAGGAAATTTAAACACACACACACACACGTCCTAACAAATCTGGGTTAGTGTCTATTAGTGTTTTTGCAACTTGAATAAATAGTAGCTGAAATTCTGAAACCAAATATCTCATGCAAGGTGCAATTTATTGGGAAACAGTGATTTATTTTATGATGTGAATTTTTAGACTGCGTAGTTTGAGTTTCCCCTGAAGCTGTCTGGGTCATGAAAACACATACACACATACGTAAAGAAAACAGAAGAGAGAACAAGAATTACAGGAAAGCAGAAAAAGTTTTTGCCAAACTTCATCAGAATACAGGCTCTACTCTAAACAGTGAATGAATCTGTTTATAGTTTCACGAACAGATGCTACTGTTCATGAACAGTACTAAACAATGCACAAAACATATAAAGACGACCACACCAATGAGCAGCCTGCCGGGGAGCTCACATACTTCTGCCTAGCCTGATGACCCTGGAGGAGGGCATGGCAACCCACTCCGGTATAGAGAGGAGCCTGGCGGGTTACAGTCTATGGGGTCGCAGAGTCAGACACAACTGAGTGACTAAGCAGAGCACAGTGCAGTTGATGACAATCTTTGAGTGTGTGCAGAGGGCTGCCAAAAATGACTGAGATGAGATGGGCAGGAAATGGAATTACCTCTGCATAATGCTCCACCTGAGCCAGCTCCACTTCTTCATCCCCTTCCCAGTCTCTCCAGTTATCAAAGTCCACAGACAACCACACTGGCTGCAGGAGAAAAGCACACGGAGTCCCAGGTCAGGAAGGCAGCAGCCGAGGTGCATAGATGAGTGTGGACATGTGTGTGGGAGCGTATTTGGGGGAAAGAGAGTCATTGGGGGTATCATCTTTCCCCTTTGACTAACCCCCCTCCGGGCTGCCATGTCAGCAGCAGCAGCAGCAGCAAAGATTGACCAAGAACTTATTAAGTGCCAAGCACAATGCCAGGCATTGTAGGGAATGGAAAAGCATAAACTCTGCCCTCAGGAGCAGACTGAGTAGACAGATAACACATCTAGGAAGATAACTGTATCATAAGGCATCCTAGGAGTCAGCAAAGCTGCATTCCCCGGAATCAGAGACAACTCTTGGAGGCCGATATTCGAAGTTCCCATGCTTAGACAGGGAAAGAGGTTGGTCACTCATTCATTGAACAGGTGTTTACACATACTATGTGATTCCAAGTTTGGCACTAGGATTATTAAAACATTTAATACTGAGTCCCAGGCCTCAAGAAGCAAGTAGGGGGACTTCCCTGGTGGTCCAGTGGTTAAGAATCCACTGTGCAATGCAAGGGACGCAGATGTGACCTCTGATTGAGGAACTGAGATCCCACATGCCACGGAGCAACTAAGCCCACCAGCTGAACTACTGAAGCCTGCGTGCTCTGGAGCCCACTTGCCTCAACTAGAGAGTCCACACACCACAGTGAAAGATCCTGCATGATGCAACAATGAAGATCCCACATGCCACTAGATCCAACACAGCAAAATAAATAATAAAAATAAATTTAAAAAGAGAAGTAGGGAAGAGAAATGTAAATAAATTATAACACAGTGTGGAAAGTGTGACAGTGGCTTAGGTAGGGGGTAGTATGGGAAACCAGGCTTCTTGGGGTTTCAAGGCCTTGCCTTGAAGGATGAGCAGGGGTTAGATGGGCAAAGGTAGTGATGATGGAGAGTTTCCAGGAAGAAGGCACAGTAAGAGCAAAGGTATGGAGGTAAACAATAGCCTGGTGCATGAAAAAGAGCTTCAAGCAGTTTGCTGTGACTGAAATGTGAAGTCCAAGGCAGAGAGTAAAGTGGTGTGAGGCTGCAAGAAGGCAGGAATAGCCAAATCATGAGCTTATATACCACACTGCACTGTGGTGCTGAGACTTCAACCCAAACAGCAGAAGCTACACATTCAAATGCCTAAGCATGTCAGAGAGACAATGAAAAGGAGTGAAGTGAAATGGAGCACATGCCCCATTTAAAGCTCAAACTCTAGGCATTTGAGAATTTAGATCAATGCGGTCAGAGTCTTTAGTTTCCAAGAGAGGTTGAGAATCTGGATTTTTAGGTGAAATCTCTTTTTTGTTTTAATCTCTACTTAAAAAGAAAAATCCAGGTCTTTTATTTTCTTTACACCTATCTTGCCATGATGTGTTGCAACAGTTCAGGCTCGCTTCCATTGGTTCTCATGAAGTGTCCTTCTCTAAGCAGGGCACGTGGGTGCTTCAGCTGAACTCAAGGACATTTCTCTTTGGCTTCCTTTCTTTTTCTGGCTTCCTTCCATATTTCTTCACACATTTCAGGAAGCTACCTCAGCTTTTAGAATGCTTAATATGCTTTTGGCAAGAATCCTGCCCTTAACTTGTTTGTTTATAAAGATGCCAATAGCATGCTGGGTAACACTGTACTCTTCCAGTGTTGCTATGTTCCAATTATAACATTTGTGGGGCATTCATTTTTGAACAATGCCCCTTCCCTTGAGATCTACATCACCTTTCTTGTAGATTCACATGTATGTGGCCAAAGGAACAACTCCATGTTTTCTAAAAGGCCTAGAGAACATATAGTGGGTGCCCCTCCTCTTTCCCCAATGGTCTTTTAGGTGAATTACTGGAACATGGTGGTTCTGGCCAAGAGGTGAAATCTCCACATTTTTAAATGTACGTAACCCTTCAAAATAATTTTCAACACTGAGAAGACTGCTAAAACAAATCTGAGAGCCAGATCCAGCCAGCAGGGAGCCAATTTTCAACTTTTAGGGGAAAAGAAGCCACTGGAGGGTTTTAAGAGGAAGAGTGACAGGGTCAAATGTATATTTTGGACAGACCATGTTGGGAGTAATGCAGAGGGGCTGAAAATATGCAACAAACCTCACCCAGTAATGGATAGGGCCTGAATTAGGAAGACATGAAATCATGGATTCAAGACTATTTAGGAGAGGACTTCCCTGGGGATCTAATGGTTAAGAATCTGACGTGCAATGCAGGGGATCTGGGTTCCATCCTTGGTTGTGGAACTAAGATTGCACATGCTGCAGAGCAACTAAGCCCTTGCACAGCTCGAGTTCATGCACCCCAATGAAAGATCCTCCCTGCAGCAAGTAAGACCTGATGCAGACAAATAATTGTTTTAAATGTATTTTTTAGGAGGTCAAATAGGCAGGACCTGGTGAGTAACAATGTTTGTGGGAAAGGAGCCAAGGCTGATTCCCAGACCTAACTTGGATACCTGGGTACACAGAGAGAGCACATAGGAGAAAAAGCAGCCACTTCCCACACACCCACCTTGATATCCTCCTTGGTGAGCCTGGGCCAGGCCACCTTCTCCTTCCATTTCCTCACAAAGCAAGTAATAGAGCGGCCAGAGCGCTTATCCTGGGAGTCCTGCCAGATAAAGAACCTCACTTTTAGGGTCTGAGGTTTAGAATGAATCTCCAATTTCCCAAACAGCTTTCCCATCCAGTCCTTACTGTTCCACCCCACCCTTACCTTGCAGTTCACCTTGGCATAGAACTCAATCTCATTGTAAAACTCCACTCCATCAGGATTCTTGCAGCTGAGGAGACAATACAGCTAAAGAGATGAGGAAGGCTGAGAGTCGGGGGCAGCAGAGAAAGCAAAGATTCCCAGGAAGTGGGAGGTGGGAGGGTGGCGGGGGTTACCTGAACACAATGCGGTGGTCTTCGATGAGCACGTGGACATCCGTGCTGTCCTCAACACAAAACTCCATGAACACATACTTGGGCCTGTCGTACCACAGGGTCCGGGCATGCTGCCTGAAGAGGAGTTGAGGTGGGGCTTCATAGCCGTGTGGGAGGGAAGACTGAGGGAATTTGGGAAAGGTGGAGGGAAAACACAGTGACGTTTTATGCTACAGCACGGCCAAAGCGGGGCCAAATAAGACTGAAGGGAGTGGAAGAGGGGCTGACAGGACTGGGGTATGCGGTGAGGGGGAACCTGAGAAGAACCGGAAAAGTGAGACAGTAGAGAGGTAAGGGAGACATGGAGAATATTCAGGTCACATTTCTCTTCACCACCCGAAGGGTACAGACGACCCGCAGTCCAGGGTTCCCTTGGGACCTCACAGAACCTGGAGCGCGCAGAAAACAGAGAATCGACTCTCTAGTGAAAGAGGCGGCCAGAAGCACTTACCGTGCCATGGCTGCTCCCGCTGCCCTGTGGCGTTTGGAGTCCGAGGCAGGGGCTGCTATCTTTAGATCCTGGGGACGCCCCCAGCAGCTGCCTCTCCTTATATGGTCGGGGAAAGGGTTTAGAGGAACGGGAAACGTGGCCTAAGCCAAGGGATTCGCATTCTAAAGGGTCTCTGGGAGAGCATAGTCCCTGCAACCCTTCACATCTCCGGGTCTCCAGAAATATACACGTTAGGAACAGACGACCCGCCAGCCGGAACCAGAGGAAGGGCTAGAGGTCGATACACACGGAAGGACGTGTCCTGGCTTCATTCACCTGTTTCTCCAATGCTCAGTATACTCTGTGCCCGACACAAACCAGGCACTCAATCGAAAAAAATCATTGACCAGAACTATACACCGAGGGAAGTCTGGCACCGAATGACGTCTCAACTCGGTGACGTCTGAACCCCGCCCACCCGCTCCCCGGGTTTCCCAGCTGGCGCGCCGTTGCCATGGCAGCAGGGGGGCGCGGCTGACGTGCGGCGGCGTTTCCTGAAACATGGCGGCTGTCGAAGCGGCTGCGGAGCCGGTAACTGGGCTGGAGGGCGCTGGACCAAAGGCGAAGGACGAAGAGGAGGAGGAAGAGGAGTCGCTGCCGCCGTGCGAGGCAGTGCGCTGGGCGCCGGTGGGGGCGGTGGCGGAGGCCGGGCCCGGAGCGGCGGCGTTCTCCGAAGAGGCGGCAGCCGAGGAGCCCGGAGTGGTCCCCGGCTCCCCGCCGGACTCCCCCGGCCGGACGCTACGGCGGCTGCGGGCCGAGAGGCGGCGGCTGGACTCGGCGCTGCTCGCGCTGTCCTCGCATTTCGCGCAGGTGCAGTTCCGCTTGCGGCAGGTGGTACGCGGGGCGCCGGCGGAGCAGCAGCGCCTCCTGCGCGAGCTCGAGGACTTCGCCTTCCGTGGCTGCCCTCACGTCCTCGGTTACGGGGTCTCGGAGGACCCTGCCAGCGATGATGGCGACAGGCTGCCGGGGGACCGACCACGGTTACGGGGCGAGGACCAGGTGAACAGCTGGGGCCAGGCCCCGAGGGATATGGGAATAGAAGGCTGGGTGGGTGGCGATGTTAACTCGAACGCAGGTAGCATTGGTGAGGAGCCGGCTCGTCTAGGTGGGTATGCGTGTCCCAGAAGAATCCCGACAGAGACCGCACAGAGGCCTGGGAAGCTGGTGATGAGAGGTGTCCACCAAAGGTGTGGAAAGACATGCAGGTGTGATGACATAAAAGGTAAAAGAGAGATGAGCTAGGAGAGTATTCAAACAGTAGAGCAACCAGCTGAAACAATACTGCTCCCACTCACCTTGTTATCGCTTCCAGTACCTAAGTCTTGAGCATGTTTGCTGATAGAGTACCCCGACCCTGGGGATTGAGAAAATTGGTTAGCGAAGAGCAAGCGAATTGAAATCCATGGAAATTTAGATATACTCCTTATCTGTGCTTTCCCAGAATCTAGAGAATGTCTTTTATCTTCAGATTCTCCTGTCTTGTGTGAGAGCTTTGGTAAACAGTAAGGTCTCAGTAATTGAAAGAAACACAACTCCTGATTATATAAATTTACTGATGCTGGTATTTTAAAAACTTCTTCCCATCCTACTTAATAACTAGATATTCTAAAGGAAGCACCTTTGGCAGCTATGACAAGATTCATTCAGTTAGCCGACACTAAGTACTGAAAATTTGTATGACATCCACAGGCAACATTTCCCTTCAGTTTTTGAACTGCTGTAAGTGCAGAATTGTAGATAGCTTGTAGCTTGTTGGGCTCTCTTTTCCCCACCTTTTTGTTGTTTAGGTTACAATCCACATGTGGCTTTCTTCCCACTAAAATTGGTTTTAGCCAAGACAACTTATCAGTAGCAGATATTGACTTGCTTATTTTAATCTAAATGTTTCCAGTACAATCCTGTATTTACTGTACCACCCTTCTCTCCACATACCCACAGCTCTTTGCATAAGTCCCCAAATTGCCAGGCTTTTAAGGAACAAATAGGATAGAATTACTGTGGTTGGATTCTGTTCAGGAGTGAGGAGCACCAGAGGTTCAGTGTGGATGTTTGGCTGTTCATTTTTACTTTTGGAGACACAGTACAACTGAAAAACACCTGAGAGATCAAAACACCTGATGTGCAGCTGCAATCTTATGTGCGTATATTGACACCTGAACAAGTAGCACCAAAGTGAGGATGTGTTTGAACTAAATGATTTAGTATGTATCAGTTTCAGTTTTTCAGGTTTTTTAACCAGTATTTTAGCTCACCTCATACTGGAAATTATTTGTTATTTCCTGTCTTGCACCAAAGCTCATTGTTCTCACCTGGTAAACTTGTTTGCCCATACTCCTGTAGATAGCGTACTCAGTAATTACCATCGCAGGTGAAGCATTCAGCTGGTACACTCATGAAAATGGAATCAGGATCTGTGACTGGTTTCTTTCTTCCTGGATTTCATAGCTTGGGAAGGGATACAATGAAAACAAAATTTCGCTACTTCTTTCCATTTGGGCCAGTTAAACAACTTTCACCATAAGAGTTCAGTATTTAGTTATGTGTCCTTCTGAACATGATTGAGTGCAGTAACATACAGCAAATGTATACTGAGAACCTACACCGAGCTTGGCCCTGGGGTACAATCAAGGCCTTTGCCCTTAAGAAGTTCATAGAACTGAGGAGACAGACTCATCCATGGATCTTTATAATGTAACATGAGCCAGCGTACAAGTGTATATAAAATACAGAGGATGTGGTTGGTTCTACCTGGGGAAATCGAGGAAACCTCTTAAAGGATATCTAGGCCTTCACTCAGTGGGGGAGAACAGGATTCTAAGAAAAAAAAACTACGACTTTGGGAAAGGATTGGAGAGCAATATCCCCCAAGAAAAGGCTTGCTTTTCTATTGGACAAAACTAAAGCAAGAGGCTTGCTTTTTTAAGTAGCTAAACAAAAGTTAATTTGTTATTTTTCATTTGTTCTCTCTCATACCTTACTTCTGGAGGCCTTGGTAAGTACCATTTTAAGATTAAATGTAATATCCTATAGATATCTAGTTTAAAATGCAGGGTTACACCTGCAAATAATTTGCTGCTTTTGCTTTTTATACTCAAGAAAGACAAGGGAGGGGCTTCCTGGGCAGTCCAGTGTCTGGGACACTGCAATTCCATTGCAGGGGGTGTAGGTTCAATTCCTGGTCCAGGAACTAGGGATCCCTCACGCTGCACAGGGCAGCCAAAAACAAAAAAAGTAAGGCAAGGAAGAACCCGTTTTTGAGAACATATTGGCAAGACTTTACCTCCAAAAAGTTTTTGTTTTGTTTTCTTGCCATACAGTGCTGCATCTGGGATCATAGTTCCCCCACTAGAGATTGAACCCACACCCCCTGCAGTGGAAGCACAGATTCCTAACCACTGGACCACCAGGGAAGAACCTCTCCAAAGGATTTTTAAGCATTTAAATGCAGAAATGACCTGGTGACAGTGAGAAAAGGAGTCACTGTTTAGGGAACCTTACCAGACTTTTTTTTTCCTTTTAAGAAAACTTATTACCTTCCCATCCCTATTACTTGGCTTTAGATTTTTTTTTTTTTTCACTGCCTTAGGCACTAGCATTTATTCATTTGATTTTGCAATATATTGGAGGAGCTTTGACCTTAAAAAACTAGTTATGAGTTACCAAGCCTTTCTCTACACCCTTACCTCTAGATTCTCTTGCACAATTTGACTGCTGCAACTGTGTAGGAGAATTGGCTATGGAGGATGGCATGTTCAATTCCTGGAAGGCTTCCTGGATGAAATAAATTGTGTCAGTCTTAATTAGAACTTTGTGGGGTGGGAGGGGGAAGCAGTGTTAACAAAAGGCCCCATTGTATTCATATCCTATTTCCAGTGAAGGAGAAATTCTTAAAGAAAACACACATTTAATATATTCTCCCAGATGAAAAAATATATATATATATTCTCCCAGATGAAATAATTCTTTTTGAGTCTGTTTCATGAATTCTGTATTTCATTTGGGTTACTTGGGAGCATTTTACATTTTTCTAGTCATCATTGGCTTAAGAGGATTCTTAATATGTCCTGACTTTTTCTTTTCCTGTGAAATCGACCTAAATCTTTTTCTTTCTTAGAGTGAGCAGGAGAAACAGGAACGTCTGGAAACCCAAAGGGAGAAGCAAAAGGAACTGATCCTGCAGCTCAAAACCCAGCTCGATGACCTGGAAACATTTGCCTATCAAGAGGGCAGTTATGACTCCCTTCCACAGTCTGTGGTCTTGGAAAGACAGCGGGTGAGCAAACCCTGAGGCTCCTCCTTTACTGCCTCGGGTTCCTTTGTCCCTTCCCAGCTTGCTCACCCTCGGCCTCACCACTGGCCCAAATCAAAGGAAAATGTTGCTACTACCTGGGACCAGTCTTTATTCACACGTGGAAACACAAGTGCCAAAGCTTTCTAATATGATGATGGAGTCTTTTTTTTTTTAAGTGGTGGTGGTTATTATTAATAGTCATATAATAATAAAAACAATAATTTCTTTCATTTGATCATTAAAACCATTCTACTTGTGCACTTCATAGTAGTTTTATAAACTAGTTTTTTCCCCCAGCACCCATTGAGAAATATTCCAGGACTCCTGACTTTAATGCTGTATATATTAAAGCAACACCTGGGCAGACAGGTAAATCTGCTGGTTAGAATACAGCCTCCCCTATGTGTTTGTCTTCCTGGAGCTGTGATGTGGCTTTTTTTCTGGCAGAGCTGGAGTTACACATTATATGGTTTTCACATTGTTCCTCATATTGTCACTGGGGTATTTTGGCTGTAATGTGCCTGGGTGTTTTGCAGAGCTTTTCCTTTAGTTGCCTAGAATAGGGCGAAGGGGGATGAGAAGGACTAGAGACTAGGGTAAAGCAGTATTTATTCTCTTGGAGGCCACAAGGGAATCTACTTATGGGGCTTTTGGGATCATCATCCACTTTGATCATTCACACTGTTGTTCTCCTGAGTGAAAGTTACCTGGCCAGGTAGAAAATTTGCAGCGAGAAGAGCCATTCTGTTGGAACCAAGTGTCCTTATATCTATAAGAGAAATAAAGGGCCTGTGCCCTCACCTTGATCAGCAGTTGTACCATTTTTTTTACAAATTTGATTTCCATTTAAGGGTAGGAGGGAGGCAACTAGTCAAGATTCTCCTTCTCCCTAACCCTGTCCCTCAAAATTCCAAAGGGTGTGCTCATGGCTTTGGTCTTGGCAGGTGATCATTGATGAGTTAATAAAGAAACTGGACATGAATCTGAATGAGGACCTCAGCTCATTGTCCACTGAGGAGCTTCGGCAGCGTGTGGATGCCGCTGTGGCTCAAATTGTCAACCCAGCCCGAGTGAAAGAACAGCTGGTTGAGCAGCTGAAAACTCAGATCCGAGACCTCGAGATGTTCATCAACTTCATCCAAGGTCAGAGCAGATGGCTGGATGTCATCATAATTATATGTATTTTTGAGTACTAACAGCTAATAGTGTCGGTCCTTGATGAACTGTTAAAGAGATCTGATCACTTGGTAAGGGAGCCAACACAATGGTGTGGAAAGGACATGGATTTTAGAACCATAGAGTTAAAATATGAGCCCTGTTGTTCACCAGCTTCGTGTCCTACCTGGACTAAAGAGGGTAGGCAGTTTTCTAACCTCTTTAGTCTGGCTCTCCTCCTCCATAAAATGATGATTCATGCTTCCTGCACTCAGCAAATAGTTATTGAGACAGCTAGTATATTGCTAGTCACTGTTCCACACAATGAAATACTATTTGTAAAAGTCTTGTCACATGGTAGGCACTAGTAAATAGTATTTCTCCTTTAAAAACCTGCCAAAATGAGGCTAAACAAGGGTCTTCTTTTCATAACCTCTGATTGCAGATGAAGTAGGAAGCCCATTACAGACAGGGAGTGGACACTGTGAGTGCAAGGCCAACGGGAAGACAGGAAGTGACTCCAGCAGAACTGGCAGCAGCAGACTGCCTCCAGGAAGCAGCAAAAGTAAGTACAGCTTCCAGAATGCACAAACCTAGAGAGACAGAAAGTGGACTAGCAGTTGCTTAGGCCTGGGGATTAGGGAGAAATGGGGAATGGAAAATGCCAATGCTACATGGTTTCTTTGGGAGAGGATGGTTACACAACTCTGAATATTAAAAAAAAAAAAAAACTGAATCATACACTTTTAATGGGTCAGTTGAATGTTATGTGAGTTATATCTCAAAATAGTTGTTATTAACCAAAATAGGTAAGTCCGGTATCATCCTGGGTGGCTCTTGGCTTCTTGCAGGACCCGTACTGTAGGTCAGAAGCCAGCCTGAATCTCGGTTTCTAAGCTGTAGGTGGCACCTCTGACCACTACAGCCTCTCACTGATGAGTTACTGTGTTTCCTACGCAGCAAAGGCAGAAGATGTGAAAAGAGTTCGAGAGACAGGGCTGCACCTGATGCGGCGAGCGCTGGCAGTGCTGCAGATCTTTGCCGTCAGCCAGTTCGGGTGTGCCACGGGCCAGATCCCGCAGCCCCTGTGGCCGAGGGGCCAGGCCGACAGGGACTACTCTCCCTTGCTGAAGAGGCTGGAGGCCTCAGTAGACCGGGTGAAGCTGCTGGCCCTGAGACACCAGGCGCACGGGCACGTCACCGGCTCCGCCAGCCTCCAGGACCTCTCCCTGGGAGGCAAGGATGAGCTGACGGTGGCTGTGCGGAAGGAGCTGACAGCGGCTGTGAGGGACCTGCTGGCCCACGGACTGTACGCCCCCTCACCAGGGATGAGCCTCGTCATGGCCCCCATCGCCTGTCTTCTGCCTGCCTTCTCCTCCGCCCCCGAGGCCATGCACCCCTGGGAGCTCTTTGTAAAGTACTACCACGCCAAGAACGGCCGCGCGTACGTGGAATCCCCAGCCCGAAAGCTCTCGCAGTCTTTTGCCTTGCCCGTCACAGGAGGCACTGTGGTGACGCCCAAGCAGAGCCTGCTGACAGCCATCCACATGGTGCTGACGGAGCACGACCCTTTCAAGCGCAGTGCAGACTCGGAGCTGAAGGCCTTGGTGTGCATGGCGCTGAATGAGCAGCGTCTCGTGTCCTGGATGAACCTCATCTGCAAGTCGGGGTCGCTCATCGAGCCCCACTACCAGCCCTGGAGCTACATGGCACACACAGGCTTTGAGAGCGCCCTCAACCTGCTCAGCCGCCTCAGCAGCCTCAAGTTCAGCCTCCCTGTAGACCTTGCTGTGCGCCAGCTCAAGAACATCAAAGACGCCTTTTGAGGAGAGCGCCCTGGCCCCAGGCCGGCACCTTGCGCAGTGGGGATAGGTGGATCGTCTTCTAGGGTAAAAGCAGGAATTAGGAGAGGCTAAAGACATTTTCACCAGCCAGATAATACAAAGTCTGTTTTCCCCATCAAATTAGCATCTCAGAAAGATATGCTGGAGACCCTCTTGTTAAAAGGTTCAGCCCTGGTGTGTGTGTACACATGAGCACATATATGTGAGCCTGTGGAAAAGAAGTCAGTCATGGGTACATCTTCATCATGCCACACCTGATTTTTAGAAAATCCAGGTTGCTGTAAGCATTCTCTTCACGGTAGTGAGTGAGTTGTTGGTCTTGGAAGAGATTTAACTTGAGGCTCCTATCAAGTTGGGAGTCATCTTCCTTCACTTGAAGCAGGTTTGTGAGAGTCCTGGGTCAGAATTTAAATTCCTTTTGTGAATACCAATGCCTCTGTCTTCCTGAGCCCAGGGTCGGGGGAGGCCATTTCTTTTCCATAGCTTCCTCTAAAACAGGAGTAGAAATATCTGAGAACAGTATTTCTAAGGGCATTAACCACAATTGTTTTTTGTTTTGGGGGGGTTTTTTTTGGTGGTGCCATAAAGCTTGTGAGATATTAGTTCCCTGACCAGGGATTGAATCCAGGCCTATAGTGGTGAAAGTGCCACATCTTAACCACTGGACTGCCAGGCAATTCCCCACAGTTGATTCTAATATGAGCCCTTTTTCACATAGAGGTGAGAACTGAATTCTGTCCCTGACAAGGTAGTCATGGCCCAGGCAATGGTCTTTTAGTTTCGGAACTGGTTTCCAAGGACAGCAACCATCTGGTACCATAGCCCCTGGCAAGTAACCTTTTCTCTGTGCACCTGCCAGCTCCCACGAAGGAAATGTGTTCAAGGTGGTTGTGCTCCATGAGTCCTGGAGGCTGCTTGGTGGAGGAGGTCTGACCGCATGATCAGTACTACAGCAGGGATAGGAACTGTGGCTGATCATTGGTGATAGAGAAGGGGCTGAGCATTTCCTTGTAAAACTGACTCTAGATTGGTCATATTTGGTCTGTTTTAGCCTTTTTAGTTCACATCTGCTATTCAGCTTGCATACTGCTCTGGGACTGACCAAAGATGAGCAAAGTGTATCACCTTCTGGAAAGCCAAATGGGTTTCCCAACACTACTGGTTCAGCATCATTTCATGTATTAAATTGCCAGTTGCACTTTGTGTCTGCACTGTTATGTAGTGCATTTTAACTTAATTTTGGGGGATAAAATATTATTTAAGATCTATTCTTGGCAATTCATTAGAATGAGTCTTCCTTCTTGTGAAACAGGATAAGTGTAAAATATTGTGGAAAATGATACCTGTGATTGCTAATAAAATCATAGTATTTTGTGTAGCTTCTCTGCAAAGACCTTCAGGACCATTGGCTTTGGTTTATAAGTCTGTCTGAGCGCTGTCAGCCCATCTGATCCAGATCAGTATTTCCTTGAGTAATGCCTGGCTCCTGGCCTTTCCGCCTCTTCTCTGCCCTCCGCCCCTTGAAAAGTTCATGAAAAAGTGTCCTTGGCATTTTCATCTCATTCTGTCCAGGCCTGCAGTCCTGTCCCCACAGCAAATCTCATGACACATACCACTTTTGGACTTGGCACTTTTTCTTTCTTTTTTTTTTTTTTTTTGGCTTTGCCGGGTCTTAGAGCATGTGGGATCTAGTTCCTGGGATTGAACCCAGGTCCCAGGCATTGGGAGCTCAGAGTCTTCACTGGACCACCAGGAAGTCCCAGATTTGGCACTTCTAAATTCATTTGTCTGGGGCTTCTCTGGTGGCTCAGTGGTAAACAATCCACCTGCCAACGCAGGAGACTTGGGTTCGGTCCCTATCTGGGAAGACATCACATACTCAGAGTAGCTAAGCCTGTGCACACAACTATTGAGGCTGTGCTCTAAAGCGCAGGAGCTGCAACTTCTCAGCCTACATACTGCAACTGTTGAAGCCTGTGTGCTCTGGAGCCCATGTTGTGCAATAACAGAAACCACCGCACTGAGAAATGCGCTCCACAACCAGAGAAAACACCCATGCAGCAAGGAAGATGCAACACAACCAAAACTAAAAATAAAATCATATTTTCAAAATCACTCAGCTGGATACCATTCAGTCAGTGAGTCAGTTCAGTCGCTCAGTTGTGTCTGACTCTTTGTAACCCCATGGACTGCAGCACGCCAGGCCTCCCTATCCCTCACCAACTCCCAGAGCTTGCTCAGACTCATGTCCATCAAGTCAGTGATGCCATCCAATCATCTTATCCTCTGTCGTCCCCTTCTCCTTCTGCCCTCAATCTTTCCCAGCATCAGGGTCTTTTCCAAGGAGTCAGTTGTTTGCATCAGGTGGCCAAAGTATTGGAGCTTCAGCATCAATCCTTCCAATGAATATTCAGGACTGATTTTCTTTAGGATTGACTGGCTTGATCTCCTTGAGTCCAAGGGACTCTTCAAGAGTCTTCTCCAGCACCACAGTTCAAAAGCATCAATTCTTCGGTGCTTAGTTTTCTTTATGGTCCACTCACATCCATACGTGACTACTGTAAAAACCATAGCTTCATTTAGGGTGAGTGATAAGTGCTATAGCCATGTGGTATAGCTCTGGATCACCCACCCCAGTATAATCCTCACAAAAACTTAACTGGTATGAAGGCTTTTATGCTAGCATCATGAGAAGCATTTTGTGTGTGTGTCTTCCTAATTTAATTCTCACTACTTGTAAGGCAGGACAACATTATCCCCATTTTGTAGTTGAGGAAAACTTACTGCAAATAGGGTTAAATATTTTGTTCCCATTTACATGTTGGAAGAGCTGCGATTTGAACTCAAGTTGCCCAAATCCAAATCCTATAGTCTTTATACTGTTATGTTACCTCATTGCATCATGCTGCTTCAAAATCTTTTGTTCCTCTCTCTCTCTCTCTCATCCACCCCATCATTTCATCAACACTTTGGGAATGACAAGGTATTTTCCACATACCTGCCAGAAATTTCGGCTGCCAAATGACTGGACTGTAGGGAGATGGACAGACAGCCATTGTTGCGCCAAGTGCTTCATGAAACTTAAAGACATGTAGAGACAGGCATGCCAGCCATCACACATCTACTAGTCACTGGTAACGTCTGCAATATAACTGAGGACAGAGGTCTCTGCTTGGCTTGGAGTGAGGCAGACAGGATGAAGGAGGAGAGGAACAACTGTCAGCCCAGGTCTTAGGCTATGCAAGATCAAAATGAAAGAGAACCATGGATATGTATCCAGTGAAAGTTCAGGGTCCATGGTATGATCTTCAAGGTGTTAAAGATTCCCAAGGTGCTCTGCCTTCATTCAGTCACTACTGACCACACACCAACTGTTTGGGCCAGGCTAGGCACTCAGGACTTACCGCTCTCTGCCTTCAAGGAACAAGATTTAGCAAAGGAGATACCAAATCTATTGGAGGTTTTAGTACCTTGTTAAATTGCTGGGATCTATCCCATTTTTTATTTATTAGCTCTGGGATGGGGCCTCAGAAGTTGCATTTCTAACAAGTTCCCACACTTTTTACACTGATCCTGCTGGTCTAGGGACCATACTCTGACAACCACTGTCCCAAACCAACTAAAATATGTTCTACAATAAATTAAGTATGGACTGGATTGCTGAGGGAGCATAGAGAAGGAACAGATGAATTCTGCCTTGGAGAATTCTATAGAGTAGCCTTGAAGGATGGATTGGATAGGATTTTGCCTGGCTACAGTGGAGGAGAAGAATAAACATGGAACAGCCTGAGTGAAGACCCTGGGCTCAGAAGAGGTGGTATCTTTGAGTAGTTGAGCTGGCTGGAACCTGGGGGGATGTGAAGGGTGGTGAGGAGGGAGTGTGTGAAGAAGGGAGAAGACAGGAACTTTTACTGCAAGGAAGACAGGAAGGGAGAGTTCAAACTTTGGTTTGAGCCAACAAAGGATTTCAGGCAGATTAAGAGGCAGTACTTAAGTATTGTGTTTAGGACTTCCCTGGTGGTACTGTGAATAACAAACTGCCTGCCAGTTCAAGGGACACAGATTCAATCCCTGGTCCAGGAAGATTCCACATGCCACGGAGCGGCTAACTAAGCCTGTGTGCCACAACTACTGAGCCTGAGCTCTAGGGCCCACAAGCCACAACTACTGAATCCCACACACCCAGAACCTGTGCTCCACAAGAGAAGCCTCCATCATGTGAAGCCCATGCACTGCAACTAAAGAGTAGCCTCACTTTTCACAAGTAGAGAAAGCCCACACAGCAATGAAGACCCAGTGCAGCCAAAAATAAACAATTATTTTAAAAAAGAGTTGTGCAGAAAGAGAAATTAAGGAAACGATACCATTCACCATTGCAACAAAAAGAATAAAATACTTAGGAGTATATCTACCTAAAGAAACAAAAGACTTATACATAGAAAACTATAAAACACTGATGAAAGAAATCAAAGAGGACACAAACAGATGGAGAAATATACCGTGTTCATGGATTGGAAGAATCAATATTGTCAAAATGGCTATACTACCCAAAGCAATCTATAGATTCAATGCAATCCCTATCAAGCTACCAACGGTATTTTTCACAGAACTAGAACAAATAATTTCATAATTTGTATGGAAATACAAAAAACCTCGAATAGCCAAAGTAACCTTGAGAAAGAAGAACGGAACTGGAGGAATCAACCTGCCTGACTTCACACTATACTACAAAGCCACAGTCATCAAGACAGTATGGTACTGGCACAAAGACAGAAATATAGATCAATGGAACAGAATAGAAAGCCCAGAGATAAACCCACGAACCTATGGTCACCTTATCTTCGACAAAGGAGGCAAGGATATACAATGGAAAAAAGACAACCTCTTTAACAAGTGATGCTGGGAAAACTGGTCAACCACCTGTAAAAGAATGAAACTAGAAGACTTTCTAACACTATACACAAAAATAAACTCAAAATGGATTAAAGATCTAAATGTAAGACCAGAAACTATAAAACTCCTAGAGGAGAACATAGGCAAAACACTCTCCGACATAAATCACAGCAGGATCCTCTATGACCCACATCCCAGAATTTTAGAAACAAAAGCAAAAATAAACAAATGGGACCTAATGAAACTTAAAAGCTTTTGCACAACAAAGGAAACTACAAGCAAGGTGAAAAGACAGCCCTCAGATTGGGAGAAAATAATAGCAAACGAAGCAACAGACAAAGGATTAATCTCAAAAATATACAAGCAACTCCTCCAGCTCAACTCCAGAAAAATAAATGACCCAATCAAAAAATGGGCCAAAGAACTAAACAGACATTTCTCCAAGGAAGACATACAGATGGCAAAAAAACACATGAAAAGATGCTCAACATCACTCATTGTCAGAGAAATGCAAATCAAAACCACAATGAGGTACCATTACACGCCAGTGAGGATGGCTGCTATCCAAAAGTCTACAAGCAATAAATGCTGGAGAGGGTGTGGAGAAAAGGGAACCCTCTTACACTGTTGGTGGGAATGCAAATTAGTACAGCCACTATGGAGAACAGTGTGGAGATTTCTTAAAAAGCTGGAAATAGAACTGCCATATGACCCAGCAATACCACTTCTGGGCATACACACCAAGGAAACCAGATCTGAAAGAGACACGTGCACCCCAATGTTCATCACAGCACTGTTTATAATAGCCAGGACATGGAAGCAACCTAGATGCCCATCAGCAGACGAATGGATGAGGAAACTGTGGTACATATACACCATGGAATATTACTCAGCCATTAAAAAGAATTCATTTGAATCAGTTCTAATGAGATGGATGAAACTGGAGCCCATTATACAGAGCAAAGTAAGCCAGAAAGATAAAGACCATTACAGTATACTAACACATATATATGGAATTTAGAAAGATGGTAACGATAACTCTATATGCAAAGCTGAAAGAGACACAGATGTATAGAACAGACTTGTGGACTCTGTGGGAGAAGGCGAGGATGGGATGTTTCAAGAGAACAGCATCGAAACATGTATATTATCTAGGGTGAAACAGATCACCAGCCCAGGTTGGATGCATGAGACAAAGTGCTCAGGCCTGGTGCACTGGGAAGACCCAGAGGGATCGGGTGGAGAGGGAGGTGGGAGGGGGGACTGGGATGGGGAATACATGTAAATCCATGGCTAATTCATTTCAATGTATGACAAAAACCACTGCAATGTTGTAAAGTAATTAGCCTCCAACTAATAAAAATAAATGGGAAAAAAAATAAATTACTGGTAAAAAAAAATAAAATAAAAAAATAAAAAAGAGTTGTGTTTAGAGAAGTTTCTCAAAATAAGACCTGTAGCTCATGACTCCACTCCAGACCCAAACTGGAGTCTCTTCAGTTGGTGATGCATATTTAATAAATATCCCAAGCAATTTTGATCCACCCAAAGTTTTGAGGAGGGAATGGAGAAGACAACTGAAGCTGGATCAGTTAGGAGGGTGGTGGAAAAAAAATTGACTTAAAAGGTGAAATTCACAGGATTTAGTTACTAATTTGATTTGGAGAGTTTAGCATGTGAGAAGAGTTCAAGGCAATGATAAAATTTCAGGGTTTGGTTTCTATTTTCCAAGAAAGAAACAGCAAAAGAGACAGAAGCAAATAAGGGGGCTGAAAGACGACCATGGAGGTGGAAATGGACGGGTTGTGTGGTGCAGCGGCAAAAGCACAGGCTTGGGAATGGGGGTGCCTTCCTCTGTGCTACCAATTCTGTGACTTTTCTGCTCTAGAGCTGTCCTCTAATCTTTGAGAGGCCCAACTAGATAACCTCTGAGGTCTTTTCCAACTCTAAAACATCATATTCTGAGTTAAAACATTTTAATTTAATATAAAAATGTAAGTACTGACACATAATTAGGGTGATAAACCATTGAAATGAAGTCCTGAGGGCTGCAGGGGAAATTGGTCCCCAAGAGTCTCGAGAGGAGAAATGATGAAACCCTGATTGTTCCCATGGCTTGCCCAAGACCTACAGATTTGTCAGTGTTCAGATGAGCAAAAACTGTAAGATGGTTTCTCTTTAACTTGAAAGACAACTGCAATGGGGATGTGGAGTCTTAGCCACTGGACCACCAGGGAGTCCCTGAAGAGTTCTCTTTGGCAAACAGTCTCATGGTCTAAGAGCTTCCCTGGTGGCTTAGAGGGTAAAGAATCCATCTGCAATGAGTGCGGGAAACCTGGGTTCAATCCCTGGAAGATCAAACTGGAGGACGATCCCCTGGAGGAGGCAGTGACAACCCACGCTAGTATTCTTGTCTGGAAAATCCCATGGACAGAGGAGCCTGGCGGGCTACAGTCAAAGGGTCGCAGCGTCAGACATACTGAGCAACCAACACTTTGCTTTTGCTTTTTGCTCAATTACTTACTAGTTGTGGACTTGGGGCAAATTACTCAACCTCTCCAAACCACAGTATCTTCAACTGTAGAATAGAGATAACAGTACTTATCTCCTAGTGTTGTTATGAGGATCAAAAGATAATGTACGTAAATACATTAACACAAGGCATGCAGCTGCTAGCATCACCATAATCATCTTCCACTTCTCTCACTTATTCTAGAAGGTTAAGGGCAAGCACCCTCGTTTGATTGATCTTCGTCTCGTCCTTATGCCTAAGAGTGAACACAGCTGGCACTAATAAATGTCCTATTTTGTTTCTGATTCTTCCAAGGTAAAAAAGGAAATTTCAAACTGTGTCTCTCCACCCTCTAGCGCCAGAGAAAGGCCCTACAACAAGCGGAGCAGCGGAGCAGCAGTGTCCACCTTAAAAGTCTTCCGCGGGAGACAAAATTCCTTTGCCCCGTCTACTGCTGGAGCTGCTAATAAAGTTTGATTTGAATAAACGAGCCGCCAGACTTTACTTGCCCCTCAAGAGCTTCCTCCTTCAACACAGATTCTAAGCGCCACGGAAGAGGCGGGGAGAAGCCCAAGGGGGCGGGACAGGAAGTGAGAGCACGCTCCCGGGCGTGAAAGGTTAGCGGAAGTGCCCTTTCTTCCTTTCTGCTGTAGTCCCGAGTGCTAGCTGCCGGTGAGTAGTGGCTGTGGTTGGGGTTCCCAATCCGCCGCCATCCGCGGCCTTGGGGTCGAGTTGCGGGGTGGTGCGTGGTGCTTTCCCTTTTTCGGTCTCTGGCGGCTTCGTACCAGGTCCTGTTCTGCGAGCAGGGACCGCAGGCGACCTGAACCGAGACGGCAGTGAGCACAGCTGAAGTTCCGGGGCCCACAGCCGGAACTGGCCGGTTTCTGAGCGATCCCTTGCTTCCTCTGCAGAAATGGGCAAGTTCATGAAACCCGGGAAGGTGGTGCTGGTTCTGGCCGGTCGCTACTCCGGACGTAAAGCGGTCATCGTGAAGGTACCAGTCCCCCGGGCCTGTGCGCCTTTGTATCCCGTGAATGGGCTGGGCTGGCGGGCAGCTTGAAATTCAAGATCTAATTTGGGGGCATTACTCCCTGAGCATTGCGGGGCGAGGGGCTTGTGAATGCATGAGACCGTTTGAGAAAGACGCAAAATAAGCAAACGGGAGATGAATTGGATAGTTAACACCTGACGAGTCCTCTGTCAAAGAGGCTTTTAATAATAGTAATGGCCAACGTTTATGAACTCTTGATTGGTCCGTGGCACTGCCTTATAGGTGTCGTCATGTCCAATTCTTACAGTTACCGTAGAGTTGCTTTCTACTGCAGAGGTTTAGAGGTGTAGAGTTTCACCTGAGGTCAAGCAGGTAGTAACGACAGAAGTCCCTGTCGTTGCAGGGACTCGGTGAAAAGAGAAGAAAATGTTTCTAGTCCAAATGGTCACTTAGCATAACCTAGCTCTTAAATGTTTGCTTTCTGCCTACCTCTCCAGCCTTTTATGACATTTCCTTAAGCTCTGGTCACATACACCACTGTTTTTGACTGGGGCTCCCTTGGTTCCCCTTCCTCCATCTCCCTGAGGCTGGTTTTGGAGTTAGACGCCCAGGTTTGGCACCCTGCCTCTACCCCTTCCAGTTCTGGAGGAGATTTAAGAGACGTCAAGTCCTGAGAACCAGTGCTTGACATACAGCAATCATTAGTTATAATCGTTCACTCTTGTTACAATTTAAATCTCTTATTTCCCAGGCACCCTTCCAGATTTTTCCTGGTGGGAAAAATACCTCCCTTTTCACTGTTACTCTTTGGGCATCTGGCGTAGCACTTAGAATGTTTGCTTTGTGGTGTTTACAGTCATGGGTGTGAGAGGCCTAGGGGCAGGGTTATTCTAGCACAGGGCCTAAATGGCTGGCAACATGTAATTCTTGCTCCTTCAGAACATTGATGACGGCACCTCAGACCGACCCTACAGCCACGCTCTGGTGGCTGGAATTGATCGCTATCCCCGCAAAGTGACAGCTGCCATGGGCAAGAAGAAAATCGCCAAGAGGTCAAAGATCAAGTCTTTTGTGAAAGTTTATAATTATAATCACCTCATGCCCACACGGTGAGCATTTCGAGAATGGAAATGAAAGTGACTTCTCTTTTCCCCTTCTCTGCCTGACTGAATAAGAGGACAACCTGGTAGCCGCTGTAGTGTGGGGAGAGGCATCATTCTGAATTTGTCATTGGCAGTGGTTTCTAGTATTGTCTCTCTTCCTGTTCACTTTCCTGTCACTTCTGAAGTGTCTTCCCTGCCTTGGGCACGTTTAGGTGTTAAGTAGAAATTGTTCCATTTGTTTCCAGCCACAGTAAAACACAGGATCTGGCCTGCCGTCTTCCTCTCTCAAGGATAATAGTAGTATAGGATAGGGTTGTTGTGGGAAATTGAGAGAATGAAGCATGAAGTTTTTCAGTGGCTTGAATCTGTGTAGATGATTTTGTTAAAATTGGGTGTTTTCCAGAAAATATCACTGGGACTTTAGCCTGTGTTGATGGTAACTCCTATAGACCATAACATGGCAATGTCCCAGGAGTGGGGTGGAGGGGAGAGGGCCCTGGTGGCCTGTGGGCTGCTCCTACCTTCTGCCATTGTCCCCAGGTACTCCGTGGATATCCCCTTGGATAAAACTGTTGTCAACAAGGATGTCTTCAGAGACCCTGCTCTCAAACGCAAGGCCCGACGAGAAGCAAAGGTCAAGTTTGAGGAGAGGTAAGAAGGCTTTGGTAGGGAATGTTGGAGTGTGGTTTCACTGTCCTCTACGAAGACAGTTTTGTCTTCTGTGATTCCTCCTCTCATTTGTGTCTTTTTTCTTCCCCTCTCCAGATACAAAACGGGCAAGAACAAATGGTTCTTCCAGAAGCTGCGGTTTTAGGTCTGTCTCAGTTAATAAAAGTATTGAAAAAAAAAGTCCCATGTGTCTGCCTATTTCCTGTGTTCTTAGACTGGGAAATGACATTGGTGGATGAGGGACTGTGGGAAAATGTAAAATAAAAGCTATGTCAGCTTTTATGAGACATGGGCTACTTCTGTCCTCAGCCTCATAATGCTTTAATGGTCTGACTGAATGGGTAAAATGTGATACTGAACTGTTTCCCCAGAAAAGCTATTGTGAACAGTTTTAGGTGTGGACTTATGTTTGTTTCCCTGGCTTCCACCCATTACATGTTTAGAGAACCCTCCCTCACACACACACATTGTAACATCAGAAGACCACTCTAAGAGCACACCATCTCCTTTGGATTGAGAATTGCTGAATTGTGGTTTGTTGAACCCACGTGCCAGATTCTTCAAGTGCTACTTGGAAGAGCACCACACTGGAGAACTGCTGTAGATGGGGACGGACACCAACAATGAAGGCTTGAGCCACAGTGCTGCCATTCCTAGTTGCACCAGGGAGAGATCCCAAATGGTCTGGCAAGAAAGGGGTTTAGGCTCTGACTTGGCACCACTGTACTGCAGAAAAGGCATTTGGCCCTTTTATCTGACATTTTACCTCTCGTTGGGTACTTAACTATGACCAGGTTTTACTGATGAAATAGGCTCTCTAGCCAAGCTGGTTCTAAACTACTAAATGGACTAGTATTCAAATAGGCCTACTTGCCAAGCCTCACACTTGGCATACTTACATGAGGGGTAGAGGGATTGAGAAAGGGGCCCAGAATAGTGAGAAATCCTGGATTGGGTGAAAATAGAAGGCATCCTGCAGGATTTAATTATACTTGCATTTGACTCACCCTTAAGTGCTGGATGGCTCCATAAAATTAAGGCAAGAATACAGGCGGGGACCCATTCCCTTCTCCAAGGGATCATCCCAGCCCAAGGATCAAACCCGGGTCTCCTGCATTGCAGGCAGATTCTTTACCATCTGGGCCACCAGGGTGGATGTCTCCAATAAGTGTTAACAGCTTGTCTACTCAAGAATCACAAATGGAACTAAAATATAAACCCTCCTTTGGCAGCAAAAATTCAACTACTTGGATATTTGCATCACTTCTAGCAGTGGGACTTTGGGCAAGTTTCTATACTGTGTTCACAAGTTTAGCATCTCTTCTGTAAAATGGAAAAAATAACATCAACTTTGAGGGGTTGTTTTGAAGGTTAAATCATGAAAAGCAGAATAGGGCATGTAACAGCTCTCAAATGCTGGCTATTACCACAGTTTGGCGAACTTGGGGCTTTTATCTATCGGTTGCAATTATCAACATCCTCATGTTCTGGGTAACATTTTAAGCCATTAACAAAGCAGAACAAATTCTATGAATAGGCCTGTCCTGGGATTGCTAGGCTGGCAAGAATGGCTGATTTGGGCCAGCATTCAGTTTGTATTTGCTTGTGGGGCAACTTCCCCGAGGTCTCACAGTTGGGGGAAGTCCACTTTGAAGACCAGGAAGCCACCCAGGGGTGGAGTGTGGGAGGGCAGGGACTTCAGTCAAACGAAAGTGAAAGCAAACAGCCTGCATAAGAAAGAAGTGTCTTCCAGGCCCCGGTGGGTAAAGCCAAAGCTCCTCAAAGTGCAAGCAAGATTTCAGCTATTGGGGACTCTGCCAAGGTGTGCCCAGCTCTGAAGGTTCACCTCTTGCCAACTGGACCCCAGACTATGTCGGTGAGAAGGAGGGTCTTGGGGGTGGGGAGAATCAGAGGAGTGCCCGTTTTGGCCAGGAATCTACCGGTTTTTGAGTCTAGCAAGCAAGCCTCTTCCTGCCCATCTCTTAGACCTGCAGAAGGTCCGGGGAGGCATTGGCTGGGGTGACATCTCTAGGGTGTTGGTCCTCTAACTGCCTCAGAGACAGTTCTAAAACTGCACCTCAGGAGATCTTGAATTCCTCGTGTGGATGTGTATTTTTCTGGAGAAAGAATCCATCATTTTCATTATATACTCAAAAGGGTTCTGTGACCCCTAAAAATTCAGGAATTGCTCACACCTTTATCTCCTGAGATCTCCCTCAACAAATTCCTCCCCTCCTTATGTTTCAGCTTAACCTAGGACTCTCTTCAGGATGAGGAGAAGAAGTATTCCTCTTCTGAGACCTAACCCCCACCCCTCCACCACCCGTGTCTGCTGTGGTCCCGCCTTTCCCAACCCATGAATGTCCCTGCTCATGGTAGAGTAAGCCCTCTGCCGGCTGGTCCTCTGTTTCAGCCTGTCCAACTTTGATCACCAGTGCCTGGCAAGCAGTAGGCACTCAGTAAACACCTGTTGAATGAATGAATCTCATCGAAATTCTTGAGCCTTTCTCTCCCTCATACTACCCCATCTGTTACAAACACACAGATCTCTTGCTTGGAAATATTTCATCTGCCTCTCAAACGTAGGAAGAAAGACCACAGACTTTAGAGCCAGCCTGACTGGTTTCAGAGCCTGGTTCCTCCAATTGTGTGGCCCTGGGCAAGTTAGTACCCTCTCTAATGCTTACAATCTAAGTCCTATTCCCTTATCTGTATGGTGGGAATAACAGCAACACTTCCACAGAAGAATACCTATCTGCAAGAATTAAACTAAATCCCTAAAATACATAGTGAACACTGCGCACTCTGCTTGGCACATACTAAGTGCTCAATACGTGCTCATTATTGTTAACATTAGCAACCTTTTAAGAACCCCAGTTCCCCAGGACAATCTTGATTCACCCCCACCTCACTCCTACCACTCTGCTAAAACTGCTTTCTCTCTTTTAAACATTATTTTATTTATTTTTGACTTGTTCCAAGTAGACTGTCTCTAGTTGCAGTGAGTGGGGGGCAACTCTCTAGTTGTGGGATGCCGGCTTCTCATTGCAGTGGCTTCTTGTTGCAGAACACCAGCTCTAGGTATATGGGCTCAGCAGTTGTGGCTTCCGGGCTCTAGAGCACACGCCAAGTAGTTGTGGCTTAGCTGCTCCGAGGTATGTGAAATCTTTCCAGACCAAGGATCGAACCTGAGTCCCCTACATTGACAAGTGGATTCTTTTTTTTTTATGTGTTTATTTTTAATTGGAGTATAATTGCTTTACAATATTGCATTGGTTTCTATCATATATCAATATGAATCAGCCATAAGTGTATGTATGTCCCCTTCCTCTTGAACTTCCCTCCCATCTGCCACACCATGCCACCCCTCTAGGTTGTCATAGAGCACTGGATTTGAGCTCCCCACATCATACAGCAAATTTCCACTGGCTATCAAATTTTACATATGGTAATGTATATATTTCAACGCTAGTCTCTCAAGTCATCCCAGGCAGGTGAATTCTTAACTACTGGACCACCAAGGAAGTCCTAAAACTACTCTCTTAGACAGACTTTCCTCTTAAACGGGAAATAAGGAAGGTGGTTTCAGGAAACTGTAATTTTGAAAAATCACCCTGAGAGCAAGAGGAAGCCACAGCAGTGGGAAGATGATGCACTTTGGCAAAAATTGCAGTCAATTAGGGATCCTTTCTCAGACTCAAGTTAGAAGTGAGAGTTCAGAATAGTGAGATCGCCATTGCTGCTTTGAACACCTCAGAAAGGGGGAATGGTTTCATCAGGACTGGAAAAAAAGAGCTTCAGTTAGTCAGTTCAGTTGCTCAGTCATACCCAACTCTTTGCAACCCCATGGACTGCAGCATGCCAGTCTTCCCTTTCCATCACCAACTCCCGGAGCTTGCTCAAACTCATGTCCATCGAGTCGATGATGCCATCCAGCCATCTCATCCTCTGTCGTCCCCTTCTCCTCCTGCCCACAATCCCTCCCAGCATCAGGGTCTTTTCCAATGAGTCAACTCTTCGCATGAGGTGGCCAAAGTATTGGAGTTTCAGCTTCAGCATCAGTCCTCCCAATGAACATCCAGGACTGATCTCCTTTAGGATGGACTGGTTGAATCTCCTTGCAGTCCAAGGGACTCTCAAGAGTCTTCTCCAACACCACAGTTCAAAAGCATCAATTTTTCGGCGCTCAGCTTTCTTCACGGTCCAACTCTCACATCCATACATGACCACTGGAAAAACCATGACTCGACAGAACTTTGTTGGCAAAGTAATGTCTCTGCTTTTTAATATGCTATCTAGATTGGTCATGACTTTCCTTCCAACGAGTAAGCGTCTTTTAATTTCATGGCTGCAATCACCATCTGCAGTGATTTTGGAGCCAAAAAAAAATAAAGTCTGACACTGTTTCCACTGTTTCCCCATCTATTTCCCATGAAGTGATAGGACCAGATGCCATGATCTTAGTTTTCTGAATGTTAAGCTTTAAGCCAAGTTTTTCACTCTCCTCTTTTACTTTCATCAAGAGGCTTTTTAGTTCCTCTTCACTTTCTGCCTAGTAAGAAGAGCTTACTAGGAGTCAAAGAAAATAATATGAAATCCAGGACTAGGGTGCCCTCTACTAAATGCAAAGTTTGCTCTGATGAAAAGTCCAAGTATCCCTCTCTAAAGATAAAAGGGCCACCAAGGAGTCAAGCAAGAAGGATCATTTGTTGTTTAGCTGCTGAGCAGTGTTCAACTCTTTGAGACCTCATAGACCCTGGACCACAGCACGCCAATCTTCCCTGTCCTTCACTATCTCCCGGAATTTGCTCAAACTCATGTCTATTGAGTCGGTGATGCCATCCAACCATCTCATCCTGTCACCCGCTTCTCCTCCTGCCTTCGATCTTTCCCAGGATCAGGCTCTTTTCAAATGAGTCAGCTCTTTGCATCAGGTGGCCAAAGTATTGGAGCTTCAGCTTTAGCATCAATCCTTCCAGTGA